TGATACGCAACTCTGGTGCGCATATTGTCAGTTTTTATAGTTTACTACGTTTGCTACTCGAGTCATCTCTCTCCCCCCCTCTCCTCTTGCTGCTCAGCCTCTGCTGCATGCCGCCAACCACACCAAGCCCTGCCAAGTCACTCAAGGAGAGAGCAGTTGCTCGACCACGGAGTCTCAAGCACTTTCTTGCCATTCACTCTGCATGGTCAGATGGATGCAACAATCTTGGTGACATGCTGCTTTCCACAAGCGTTCTATTCACTATTAGTTTGTGTATCTTACTGTCTGCAAACTACTATCTGCTAGTTTGTCTTTTCTTAGCAAGGTGTTGCTAAAATAATTTGTGTTAGCCGCTAATGCTAAATCGCTAGTTAGTAAATTTAGCAAGGTAGCTAGCCAGCTAAGAGTCAGAGCAAGTTCCTACCCTGTCAATAATTCCTCCCTGGTTTATTCATTCATTGTCATGTCAAACAACAATGTATTCAAGGTGCTGCCCACTATATTCCAACTATAGAATTAGAAGAATAATTATATTTACATGATTCCAACAGTTCACCAATTAACTACATTTTTTGCCCATATCTGTGTGGCACAGTGTGGAAATTATAATAATAAAGTGCAGGAAATGCAGAAATGGAGTTGGATTGAAGAGTATAAATGGAGATATTGATATCACTTATAATTTGTGTTGCCACCTTAGGGTCATGAATTACTCAAAGCATTTTTAGAACTTTGATTATTTCAAAAATTATTCATAAAAAATTAAAAACATGATATATGAGCTGCCCAGTGACGCGAGTCTACCAGACGAGCTAAATGCCTTTTATGCTCGCTTCGAGGCAAGCAACACTGAAGCATGCATGAAAGCACCAGCTGTTCCGGACGACTGTGTGATCACGCTCTCCGTAGCCGATGTGAGCAAGACCTTTAAACAGGTCAACATTCACAAGGCCGCGGGGCCAGACGGGTTACCAGGACGTGTACTCAGAGCATGCGCGGACCAACTGGCAACTGTCTTCACTGACATTTTTATCCTCTCCTTGACCGAGTCTGTAATACCTACATGTTTCAAGCAGACCACCACAGTCCCTGTGTCCAAGGAAGCAAAGGTAACCTGCCTAAATGACTACCGCCCCGTAGCACTCACATGGGTAGCCATGAAGTGCTTTGAAAGGCTGGTCATGGCTAACATTAACACCATCATCCCGGAAACCCTAGACCCACTCCAATTCGCATACCGCCCCAATCTCAATCTCACTCCACACAGCCCAATCGCACTCCCACATATCTTGCATTACTCATTTCATATGTATACTGTATTCTATAATATTCTACTGTATCTTAGTCCATGCCGCTCTGTCATTGCTTGTCCATATGTGTATATATTCTTAAATGTAATTCCTTACTTAGATGTGTGTGTGTGTATATATGTTGTGAAATTGTTAGATATTACTGCACTGTCGGAGCTAGAAGCACAAGCATATTGCAACACACGCAATAACATCTACTAAACGCGTGTATGTGACAAATAATTTGATTTGGACAAAAGGAACACCTATGTGAGAATGCTGTTCATTGACTACAGCTCAGCGTTCAATACCAGTGCCCACAAAGCTCATCACCCTGGGACTAAACACCTCCCTCTGCTGGATCCTGGACTTCCTGACAGGCCACCCCCAGGTGGTAAGGTTAGGCAACAACACATCTGCCACGCTGATCCTCAACACGGGGCCCCTCAGGGGTGGGTGCTTAGGTCCCCCCTGTTCACTCAAATGCGTGGCCAAGCATGACTCCAACACCATCATTAAGTTTGCTGACGACACAACAGTGGTAGGCCTGATCACTGACAACGATGAGACAGCCTATAGGGAGGAGGTGAGAGACCTAGCAGTGTGGTGCCAGGACAACAACCTCTCCCTCAACGTGAGCAAGACAAAGGAGATGATCGTGGACTACAGGAAAAGGATGGCCGAACATGCTCCCATTCACATCAACAGGGCTGTAGTAGAGTTTCAAGTTCCTTGGTGTCCACATCACCAACAAACTATCATGGTCCAAACACACCAAGACAGTCGTGAAGAGGGCACGACAACACCTTTTCCCCCTCAGGAGACTGAAAAGATTTGGCATGGGTCCCCAGATCCTCAAAAGGTTCTACAGCTGCACCATCGAGAGCATCCTGACCGGTTGCGTCACCGCCTGGTATGGCAACTGCTCTGCATCCGACCTCAAGGCGCTACAGAGGGTAGCGCGTACAGCCCAGTACATCACTGGGGCCGAGCTACCTGCCATCCATGACCTATATACTAGGCAGTGTCAGAGGAAGGCCCCAAAAATTGTCAAAGACTAGTCACCCAAGTCATAGACTGTTCTCTCTGATACCGCATGGCAAGCGGTACCGGAGCGCCAAGTCTAGGTCCAAAAGGATCCTTAACAGCTTCTACCCTCAAGCCATAAGACTGCTGGCCAATTAATCAAATGGCCACCCATACTATTTACATTGACGTTTGATTTTACACTGCTGCTACTCGCTGTTCATGCATAGTCACTTTACCCCTACCTACATGTACAAATTACCTTGACTAACCTGTATCCCGCACATTGATTCGGTACCGGTACACTCTGTTCATAGCCTCAGTATTGTATTTCATTGTGTTACTTAATTTTATTTAGTAAATATTTTCTTAACTATTTCTTGAACTGCATTGTTGGTTAAGGGCTTGTAAGTAAGCATTTCCCGGTAACCTGTTGTATTCAGCGCATGTGACCTAAAATTGGATTTGATATTTTGTCCATATCGCCCAGCCCTAGTCTTACACTACAGTTAGTTGGTTTGATAGGAGAATGGGAACACGCAGTGTAGACTACAGCAGATCCAATTATCATACAATCAATTTGATAGGATCATACTGAACACACCTTATTTTGAAGAATCAGGGATAGGGGTGAAGGGAAGGCAGCAGGCAACAAAGACACTACATGCTTCCAAGGCCAAGACCGGTGAAACCAGCTGTATTGCTGATAGACTATAACTAGGGCCCTGTGTTTTGGTTAATCATGCCACATGACCTAGATTTTAACCTTTATTTTAAGTCTGTTCCAGAACTGAGAATTAGAACAAAAATGAACTCAATTGTCTGAGGATGGTGCTGGACCATCTGACAAAGGGGACAGTTTGATGAAAAAGCATTAAAAAAAAAAAAGTTAAACCACAGGTCATGTGACATGATTAACAAAAACACAGGGCCCTAACTATCAAGACAACTATAAGGCCTAGCCCATTTTCCAGTCTCGCATCATCTCTGTGTGAGCTAGTGCTTACTTGCGTCAGAGAGCTTTAAAAACAGACACAACATACTACTTCCTGTTACTCCTGCGACAAAGATCCACTGACGGGCAAACTCATCCACAAGGTATTTACAGGCATTAATCACATGTCGAGTGTCTCCGTTTTAAAAACCTGACACAAACCTCTCGCACTAGTCAGCACTGGCTTGCCCAGACAGCGCGGTAGTGGCTACTGACGCTTTCACGGTGTCTCTAGTCTCACCTTCTTGGCAGAGAGGGCCAGTTTTTTGGCGGGTGGGGGAGACGTGGTGCTGGTGGGTGAAGACGTGATGTTGATGAGGGCGTGGGGTTTTAGCTTGACCGTCTTCTGCTCCTCTGTGCCCACGGGCTCAAAACTCTTGGCGGGGGAGGCCATGCCGTTCCTAGGGGGGGTGGACGTCCCACCGACCGGTGCACTTTTGGTACCCATGGAATCCTGGATGACACAATAGCAAGCATTTGGTTCTGATTAATAACGTGACCAGAAACCAATGACATACACCCAAACTGACCATCTTATATCTGTATCGTACAGTGAGGGGAAAAAGTATTTGATCCCCTGCTGATTTTGTACATTTGCCCACTGACAAATAAATGATGTCTATAATTTTAATGGTAGGTTTATTTGAACAATGAGACAGAATAACAACAAAGAAAATCCTAAAAAACACATGTCAAAAATGTTATAAATTTATTTGCATTGTAATGAGGGAAATAAGTATTTGACCCCCTCTCAATCAGAAAGATTTCTGGCTCCCAGGTGTCTTTTATACAGGTAACGAGCTGAGATTAGGAGCACACTCTTTAAGGGAGTGCTCCTAATCTAAGCTTGTTACCTGTATAAAAGACACCTGTCCACAGAAGCAATCAATCAATCAGATTCCAAACTCTCCACCATGGCCAACACCAAAGAGCTCTCCAAGGATGTCAGGGACAAGATTGTAGACTTACACAAGACTGGAATGGGCTACAAGACCATCGCCAAGCAGCTTGGTGAGAAGGTGACAACAGTTGGTGCGATTATTCGTCAATGGAAGAAAGACAACAGACCTGTCAATCTCCCTCGGCCTGGGGCTCCATGTAAGATCTCACCTCATAGAGTTGCAATGATCATGAGAACGGTGAGGAATCAGCCCAGAACTACACGGGAGGATCTTGTCAATGATCTCAAGGCAGCTGGGACCATAGTCACCAAGAAAACAATTGGTAACACACTACACCGTGAAGGACTGAAATCCTGCAGCACCCGCAAGGTCCCCCTGCTCAAGAAAGCACATATACAGGGCCGTCTGAAGTTTGCCAATGAACATCTGAATGATTCAGAGGAGAACTGGGTGAAAGTGTTGTGGTCAGATGAGACCAAAATCGAGCACTTTGGCATCAACTCAACTCGCCGTGTTTGGAGGAGGAGGAATGCTGCCTATGACCCCAAGAACACCATCCCCACCGTCAAACATGGAGGTGGAAACATTATGCTTTGGGGGTGTTTTTCTGCTAAGGGGACAGGACAACTTCACCGCATCAAAGGGACGATGGACGGGGCCATGTACCGTCAAATCTTGGGTGAGAACCTCCTTCCCTCAACCAGGGACATTGAAAATGGGTCGTGGATGGGTATTCCAGCATGACAATGACCCAAAACACACGGCCAAGGCAACAAAGGAGTGGCTCAAGAAGAAGCACATTAAGGTCCTGGAGTGGCCTAGCCAGTCTCCAGACCTTAATCCCATAGAAAATCTGTGGAGGGAGCTGAAGGTTCGAGTTGCCAAACGTCAGCCTCGAAACCTTAATGACTTGGAGAAGATCTGCAAAGAGGAGTGGAACAAAATCCCTCCTGAGATGTGTGCAAACCTGGTGGCCAACTACAAGAAACGTCTGACCTCTGTGATTGCCAACAAGGGTTTTGCCACCAAGTACTAAGTCATGTATTGCAGAGGGGTCAAATACTTATTTCCCTCATTAAAATGCAAATCAATTTATAACATTTTTGACATGCGTTTTTCTGGATTTTTTTATTGTTATTTGGTCTCTCACTGTTCAAATAAACCTACCATTAAAATTATAGACTGATCATGTCTTTGTCAGTGGGCAAACGTACGAAATCATTAGGGGATCAAATACTAACATGAACTAACATGACTGGGCTATGAAGTAATGGGAACTATTACGTTCTGATGGAGGGAAGCATATGTACAGTGCATTCGGAAAGTATTCAGACCCCTTGACTTTTCCCACATTGTTTTACGTTTCAGCCTTATTCTAACATGGATTAAATTGTTCTCTCTCTAATCTACACACAATACCCCATAATGACAAAGCAAAAATAGGATTTTAGAAATGTTTGCAAATGCATTAAAAATAAACTGATATAACATTTACATTTACGTCATTTAGCAGACGCTCTTATCCAGAGCGACTTACATTATTATTTTTCATACCCCCTGTGGGAATCGAACCCACAACCCTGGCGTTGCAAACGCCATGCTCTATCAACTGAGCTACATCCCTGCCGGCCATTCCCTCCCCTACCCTGGACGACGCTGGGCCAATTGCGCGCCGCCCCATGGGTCTCCCGGTCACGGCCGGCTACGATAGAGCCTGGATTCGAACCAGGATCTCTAGTGGCACAGCTAGCACTGCGATGCAGTGCCTTAGACCACTGCGCCACTCAGGAGACATGAGTGGCGCAGTTACATAAGTATTCAGACGCTTTACTCAGTACTTTGTTGAAGCACCTTTGGCAGCGATTACAGCCTCAAGTCTTCTTGGGTATGACGATACAAGCTTGGCACACCTGTATTTGGGGAGTTTCTCCCATTCTTCTCAGCAGATCCTCTCAAGCTCTGTCAGGTTGGATGGGGAGCGTCGCTGCACAGCTATTTTCAGGTCTCTCCAGAAATGTTAGATCGGGTTCAAGTCCAGGCTCTGGCTGGGCCACTCAAGGATATTTAGAGACTTGTCCCAAAGCCACTCCTGCATTGTCTTGGCTGTGTGCTTAGGGTCGTTGTCCTGTTGGAAGGTGAACCTTTGCCCCAGTCTGAGGTCCTGAGCGCTCTGGAGCAGATTTTCATCAAGGATCTCTCTGTACTTAGCTCCATTCATCTTTCCCTCATTCCTGACTAGTCTCCCAGTCCCTGCCGCTGAAAAACATCCCCACAGCATGATGCTACCACCACCATACTTCACCATAGGGATGGTGTCAGGTTTCCTCCAGACATGACGCTTGGCATTCAGGCCAAAGAGTTCAATCTTGGTTTCATCAGACCAGATAATCTTGTTTCTCATGGTCAGAGAGTCCTTTATGTGCCTTTTGGCAAACTCCAAGCGGGTTGTCATATGCCTTTTACTGAGGAGTGGCTTCCGTCTGGCCACTCTACTATAAAGGCATGATTGGTGGAGTGCTGCAGAGATGGTTGTCCTTCTGGAAGGTTCTCCCATCTCCGCAGAAGAACTCTGGAGCTCTGTCAGAGTGACCATCGGGTTCTTGGTCACCTCCCTGACCAAGGCCCTTCTCCCCCGATTGCTCAGTTTGGCCGGGCGGAAGAGTCTTGGTGGTTCCAAACTTCTTCCATTTAAGAATGATGGAGGCCACTGTGTTCTTGGGGACCTTCAACGATTCAGGAATGTTTTGGTACCCTTCCCCAGATCTGTGCCTCGACAATCCTGTCTAGGAGCGCTACGGACAATTCCTTCGACCTCATGGCTTGGTTTTTTGCTCCGACATGCACTGTCAACTGTGGGACCTTATATAGACAGGTGTGACCCTTACAAATCATGTTCCAATCAATTGAATTTACCACAGGTGGACTCCAATCAAGGTGTAGAAACATCAAGGATGATCAATAGAAACAGGATGCACCTGAGTTCAATTTCGAGTCTCATAGCAAATGTCTGAATACTTATGTAAATAAGGTATGTATTTTTTTTTACACATTTGCAAAAATTTATAAAACCTGTTTTCGCTTTGTCATTATGGGGTATTGTGTGTAGATTGATGAGGAAAACATGTAATTTAATCCATCCTAGAATAAGGCTGTAACGTAACAAAATGTGGAAAAAGTCAAGGGGTCTGAATACTTTCCGAATGCACTGTAAATGAGACAACGTGCATGTTTGAGATATGCAAATTCTCATCCTGTACGTGACAGCAATTATATAAGGGCACATTTTGTGCAGTTATAGTAGACTGACTGCCCGTCCAATAAAAGGCATAATATATTGTAACTAGTGCTGTACCTTTGAGTCGGAGGTGTCTGCCGAGGAGGAGTCCGACAGGGACTTGAGTGAGGTAGATGCGGCCAGGCCCCTGCCCCCCTTGGTTCCCGTGCCTCCTGTCTCCTCCGTCCGACCTGCTGCCCACGCCGTTGGAGGAGGGGGCAGGGGTGCTGCTGCGCGCCTGGGGCTGCTGAGGGGGACAGGGCTTCTTCAGCTTCTTGAAGGGCTCCTCGATCAGCGTGGGTCCGCCTGCTAGCCTGGGGGGGGCGTGGGCAGCGGACGACGTCCCGTTGGACATCCTGTTGGGCTGCTGGGAGCCATTCCTAGACACGGGTATGCCCAGGCCGCCATCCACAGACTGGATCTTACGCAGCTGGAAAGGGTCCAGTTTCTGCAGCGAAAGAAGAGACATGGTTCAGTGACCAAGCCTTGGGACAAGAGTCAACAACACTCCATACAATACATCCAGGAGAAGATACAAAGTCCCCAGGTTCAGAACAAAGAGGCAGGGCCAGCTTAATCTCATCAGCCATCAGGCTACTGAACAATGGTATAATGTATATTACATTGTATAAGGCCAGTATAGTTCATGTCAGTGTCCTATTTGAAGCATTCTGTATTGTATTGATTTCCATGCAAATGGACAATAAAAGTATCACATCGTATCGAAGGCAGCAAGTCTATTCATACCGTATTGCTTTCAAACGTTCTGATGATGGACCGTTCTGCCAGCCTGTCCCATACCTTGGTGACCTGCGGAGAGGAGAGGGGCCTGTTGAGGTTGGTCTTCCTGAACTGTTCTGACGTCGCTACGTTCTTCCCCATTCCCTGCTTGGTGATCTGGCCGTCCACGTTCTTCTTGGTCTCTGGGATCCTAACGGACAAAGAGCAGGTACGGTCAATATGTAGAACAAAACAATCAGCAAATCGTCACTAGTAACCAACAGACCTGGGTTAGATACTTTCAAATACTTGAGCTGTGCTTGGTTTAGCTTGCCGTGTATAATGGAACCTATTGAATAGTTATAACAGTTGGTAGAGCATGGTGCTTGCAACGCCAGGGTGTGGGTTAGATTTTTTTTAGCACGGAAATGTACACACTCGCTACTACTGTAAGTCGCTCTGGATAAGAGTCTGCTAAATGATTAAAATGTAATGTAAAATGTAACAGAGTAAACTCGATGCTAAATACTTCCAGGGCTCACTTGAAAAAGGTCTCTCAATGTGACTTCCCTGGTAAAAAAAAGAAAAAGGTATTTGAACGTGTCAGACATCTGTATTCCACCCAGGTCTGGTTACTATATTGTTAACGTCTTACCTCAGGTAGAATAGGACATAGGCTTGCTGATTGAGGACTACTTTGATGTTACTGGAATGGACCATCGAGTCATTCATCTGGTACCATTGCCCGTTGCTGGCCTGTGAAGACAACGGAAATATAAAATGGGCTTTTCTAAATGAAGTGAAGGGACATCCCACAGTAGAGACTAAACACAGATTAACAGGATGGTTCACTTTTTAAAAAGTCTTAGCTCATTTCCACTAGCATTGCTCCAAAGAGGCAAACCAGGAAATTCTGAACGTTGCTAAATAACCAGCTAACAAACTTAAACTGTTCTGATAAAACTGTGATAATGAAAATCAAAACTAAACTTCAAAAAGTAAATGATCCTTTTAAGACTTCCAAACAAAATCGATCTCAAAAGTAGTGTCTTCGGCCTACCATCAGCCTCCTTACCTTGACATAGCAGTAGTAGTGGCCAGCGTGACAGCTGTACCCAGAATGCACCAGGACAGCATAGAGGCCGTACATGACCGGGTCCCCCGTGCTCTGAGACATGTAGGGGCGGATGTTCAGGAACTCTGGGTAGCCAACGTCCTAACAAAGACACAGGCGAGATAATCATCAGGCGCATGTTCAGTAGGGAGCAAATGTTTTAAAAAAGGGGGAGGAACTGCCTGAATTTGTCCAATAAAAACACAGATTTTAATGTTCCATTGCAAAGCGTTTTACAATTGTGTGCCCTACGGACTACGACCCAGTTAGGGTGAGAACTGTTACACTGAAACAGCATTTTTAAACAGAGTAATGACTAATGTTGTGAGCGGTTTACCTTGGTGATTTTTCCTCCACTGAAGTTGGCAAACCTCTTGAGAGACAGGGTCAGAACATTGGACGTTCGATGGACTGTGAATCGCTTTGTTGCCGGAACTTTCTTCTTACACCTGATAAAGTGTAAGCGTGTTGTTTATAAACGGCTATAACACTAATGTGGGCCTTGTGTCCGTCTACTGCTACAGTGTGTTAGAAGTTAGAACGTCACTACACAGAACTTACTTGGCCACACATGTAGGCGTTCTCTCCACTCAACACGTCGGGCTTGACAAAGAGCTCCAGGGCTCGGACGATGTTTGCTGCTTGCTGAAAAGGAACAGAGAAGACCACTCAGCACAGGCATGAAACCAAAGGGACTGACTGAAGACCACTCAGCACAGGCATGAAACCAAAGGGACAGATGGAAGACCACTCAGCACAGGCATGAAACCAAAGGGACAGATGGAAGACCACTCAGCACAGGCATGAAACCAAAGGGACAGATGGAAGACCACTCAGCACAGGCATGAAACCAAAGGGACTGACGGAAGACCACTCAGCACAGGCATGAAACCAAAGGGACAGATGGAAGACCACTCAGCACAGGCATGAAACCAAAGGGACAGATGGAAGACCACTCAGCACAGGCATGAAACCAAAGGGACTGACGGAAGACCACTCAGCACAGGCATGAAACCAAAGGGACAGATGGAAGACCACTCAGCACAGGCATGAAACCAAATAGAGTCATCAGTTGAATTCATTTGGGACAGCAAACACAACACACATCCATTAACTCTTTATTCTGGCCCAGGGATAAATCAATAGGTCTACTGATCTGACAAGAATTTATAAGTACCATTCTTCCTGGGTTTCTGCCTAGGGAGTTTTTCCTAGCCACAGTGCTTCTACATCTGCATTGCTTGCTCTTTTGGGTTTTAGGCTGGGTTTCTGAATAAGCACTTTGTGACAACTGCTGATGTCAAAAGCGCTTTATAAAATAAATGTGATCGATTGATTAGATCTGCAATTGTGAATTATTCAAGGACAGGAGGAAGATACTTTAAAAGTAAGCAAGTAACTTACTCGAATCTCCACAGCAATGTCCAAGTAAGGGTCGTACGTGTCCGACACACTTTTGCAAATGGAACACTTAACTGAAAGAGAGAAAATATAATTAATCCACTAAGGCAATTTGCCAATATGCCTTAAAAAGTAGTTATCAATGTAGCAGGGTTGGGGTCAATTCCATTTGAATTCCAGTCAGCTCAGAAAGTACAAATTCCAGTTCCAAATTGTCTTCAATTAAAAAGCATTGAAGAGAATTGGAATTCAGTGTAGTTCCTGAATTGAAATGGAATTGACCACAACTGTGCAATATAGTAGATTGAAAGATGTACCTCGCGACCTGAGGTAACCTCCAAAGATCTGGTGGACCAATGTGGTGGCCTGTGTCGTCCGGTCTAACCTACGACCCAGAGAGAGAAATACAATTCAAAAACACAAAAGAACCATCCAAAAATGACAGAATGACTAAGTACAACAAAAAAAAAAAGATTGACGCTTTCTGAACACCCACATTCAATTCAATCCACATTTCAGTGAGGTATAATTAGTGTCCTTCACGCGATGACTTGAAAAACTTACTTGGGGTAGCCGTTCAGACAGGCTTTCTGCATGGCATCGATGGTGTAGCGTAAAAATTCATGGGCGTCTTCCTGGCTTCCGAACCGAAAGTGCCTGGCAATTTCTGCAAGAGCAAACAAGAAACACCCCGTTAAACCAATACCAAAAGCCTCAACTCCATCCCTTATGGCTTCATCGGAAACTATCTACAACACACAATACCAGCACCACCAATCCAATCTTCCTGATGTGTTTTTGTCTCCGATGTTGGTTTGATGTGGTTTGTAACTAATGGGCTGTGCCTGTGAAAATACATGATTGTCCTCAGTGGGGGGAAATGACCTATCCATTATCAACAGGCCTACCGCATGAGACCACGCGGAGGCATTAAGCCATTCAGATTAGTCTCCTCTTAAAGGGAGGGAGAAACAGAGACCTAAACATTCTACAACCTGCTACAGTCCTCCTCTTAAAGGAAAGGTTCACCCATTATTAATAATATATTGTTTTCGTGCATCTCTGAGCGATGTTCTATCGATTCCCTGGGTCATTTCATGTTTTAACGTGTATCGGAGTTATTGGCGAAATTCCGGCCAGTATGGCGTAGCTCTGTGATAAAGTCGCTCTAACTACACTGGAAGTTAATCGGAATACGACTTTTAGATTGTGAAAACGTCTATCATACATGTCAGATTTCAATACTGGCCGATGTCATAACTCGGAAGAATGTCTTCTCTTGAATGAGCCATTGATCATATTTTTGCCATATTCCTACCTGGATAAACTTGTAGGTCTAGCACATTTGTCCTATTGGTCTGCCTCTTTAGCCCAGGGTGCATGCATGGTGCCGTTGCCAGAGCTATTATAAAGGGAAAGGGGGATACCTAGTCAGTTGTACAACTGAATGCATTCAACTGAAATGTGTCTTCTGCATTTAACCCAACCCCTCTGAATCATAGCAGTGTGTGGGGGGTTGCCTTAAATCGACAGACATCCTTTAGAAAAGAAATAGGAATCTAATGAATGTGTAACGCCCCACCCAGCAGACTGTCGACCAATCATGTTCACGTTGTCATGCTGCGTCACACAGTTGCTAAGCTAATCGTCACGCAATCCCTTCTCAAAGTCAGTGTGTATGTTGAGAAACGTGCCTATTTTCATTGAAAGTGCATAATGTCACTATTACAACACCATACGATATTACAGATAGCAAGTTAATTATCTCAGAAAATATTTGTAATGTTGTACTTATTGTTGACGAAATCCGTGCTAATGTTGGTTTTTTGAACTAGCGCCCAATAGACTCCCATTCACTCCTTAAAGGAGAGTGCTCCTTGTCCCAGAATCGCCCCGAATGCACCGTGCGCCTATTGACATAGCATGGGCAACATTTCCCATCTTCTCAAAAATATATCTGCTGTTGCAAATGTCAGACTTCACTCTGTGAGGCACATCGATCTGCAGGTTGAACGTGGTGAGATTGTAGACTCCTAAATTGATAGTGCAGTTGAGGCGATTTTACAGCTAACTAGCTACTTTATATGCTGATATTGTCTTTGGTATCATTGTGTGTAGCTACGTTTGCTAGCTAGCTAGCCAGCCAGCCCATAGAGAGCATTGCATTGTGGATGTTGTAGTCGACTTGAGCTGCAACAGATTTTCACAACGATTTTCCATGTTGCTACCAACATTGTTATAACGCCAGAATGAAACATTTGTTCAGAAAACATATAGTTCCCACAGTGTTATTTAACACTGTAAATTAAAGGAATGAGTGGTTTTGGGTGGAGAAACAGTCTACAGTCTCCTCTTAACAGATAGAGGGGAAAGGAGACAGCACAAACTAGAGAGAAAGTTAGTTATTCAATATACTGTGCAGCCCTAGCTAAGGGTTATCACAATTATGGACATGTGCAAAGGCGAGGGAGAGAGAGGGATGAGAGAGAGCAAGGCGAGGGAGAGAGCGGGGCGCGCGAGAGAGCGGGGCGCGCGAGAGAGAGAGAGTGGGGCGAGAGAGAGAGAGCGGGGCGCGAGAGAGAGAGCGGGGCGCGAGAGAGAGAGCGGGGCGCGAGAGAGAGAGCGGGGCGCGAGAGAGAGAGCGGGGCGCGAGAGAGAGAGAGCGGGGCGCGAGAGAGAGAGAGCGGGGCGCGAGAGAGAGAGAGCGGGGCGCGAGAGAGAGAGAGCGGGGCGCGAGAGAGAGAGCGGGGCGCGAGAGAGAGAGAGCGGGGCGCGAGAGAGAGAGAGCGGGGCGCGAGAGAGAGAGAGCGGGGCGCGAGAGAGAGAGCAGCAGGCAGGGCGAGAGGCGAGGGAGGGAGGGAGAGAGGCGAGGGAGAGAAAAAGTATCCAAATCTTATAGCGAGGAGATAGAGGTAGCTAAAGGAAAAATCTACCATTTTAGCAGAGCAGACTGTAGAGAAATTGTTAGCATTTCTGTGGGTTTGTGCAAATGCTGCTTCTCCCTGCCCGCAGTCACAAGGAGACAGAAAGGGCATCGTAGAGAGAAGGAGAGCACAGGAGGGGGGAAGAGGGTATTGCAGCAATAAGGAAGGAGAAAGACGGGCGGTAGGAAGAGGTGGACATGACCGAGAAGGGGAACGGAAGGGTGATCCCTGGAGACAGTGCTTCTCTGACGCGAGAGAGAGAGCGGGGCGCGAGAGAGAGAGAGAGAGCGGGGCGCGAGAGAGAGAGAGAGAGCGGGGCGCGAGAGAGAGAGAGAGAGCGGGGCGCGAGAGAGAGAGAGAGCGGGGCGCGAGAGAGAGAGAGAGAGCGGGGCGCGAGAGAGAGAGAGCGAGAGCGGGGCGCGAGAGAGAGAGAGAGAGAGCGGGGCGCGAGAGAGAGAGCGGGGCGAGAGAGAGAGAGCGGGGGCGAGAGAGAGAGCGGGGCGCGAGAGAGAGAGCGGGGCGCGAGAGAGAGAGCGGGGCGCGAGAGAGAGAGCGGGGCGCGAGAGAGAGAGCGGGGCGCGAGAGAGAGAGCGGGGCGCGAGAGAGAGAGCGGGGCGCGAGAGAGAGAGCGGGGGCGCGAGAGAGAGAGCGGGGCGCGAGAGAGAGAGCGGGGCGCGAGAGAGAGAGCGGGGCGCGAGAGAGAGAGCGGGGCGCGAGAGAGAGAGCGGGGCGCGAGAGAGAGAGCGGGGCGCGAGAGAGAGAGCGGGGCGCGAGAGAGAGAGCGGGGCGCGAGAGAGAGCGGGGCGCGAGAGAGAGAGCGGGGCGCGAGAGAGAGAGCGGGGCGCGAGAGAGAGAGCGGGGCGCGAGAGAGAGAGCGGGGCGCGAGAGAGAGAGCGGGGCGCGAGAGAGAGAGCGGGGCGCGAGAGAGAGAGCGGGGCGCGAGAGAGAGAGCGGGGCGCGAGAGAGAGAGCGGGCGCGAGAGAGAGAGCGGGGCGCGAGAGAGAGAGCGGGGCGCGAGAGAGAGCGGGGCGCGAGAGAGAGAGCGGGGCGCGAGAGAGAGCGGGGCGCGAGAGAGAGAGCGGGGCGCGAGAGAGAGAGCAACAGGCAGGGCGAGAGGCGAGGGAGGGAGAGAGGCGAGGGAGGGAGAGAGGCGAGGGAGAGATGCGAGGGAGAGAAAAAGTATCCACACTTATAGCGAGGAGATAGAGGTAGCTAAAGGAAAAATCTACCATTTTAGCAGAGCAGACTGTAGAGAAATTGTTAGCATTTCTGTGGGTTTGTGCAAATGCTGCTTCTCCCTGCCCGCAGTCACAAGGAGACAGAAAGGGCATCGTAGAGAGAAGGAGAGCACAGGAGGTGGGAAGAGGGTATTGCAGCAATAAGGAAGGAGAAAGACGGGCGGTAGGAAGAGGTGGACAGGACCGAGAAGGGGAACGGAAGGGTGATCCCTGGAGACAGTGCTTCTCTGACTCAGGCCCATCGCAGGCTGTTCAATGTCGTTCCAGGAGGGCCCAAACACTTCTGGTTTCCATCCTCTCCTACTATGGGACTAATTCAGACCTGGTACACCAGGTAGAAATTAAAAACGGAAGTGTTTCAGCCCTCCAGGAGCGGAATTGAACAGCCCTGCTCTCGGGGACTCTACTACTACACACACCATAAGGTAGATACAGGAAGATCACACTCCATAAGGTAGATACAGGAAGATCACACTCCCATGAAGTCTCTGCAAACTTAAACCAGTCATTCACTGTGCCAAGCTTAGACTATATTACTGACATTTGCATTGATCCGAGTGGGCATTTGAAACTTCATTTCAGGCTAAGCTCACACCATCCCTCCCCTCTATATAACAGTGTGGTGGTTGTACCATCCCTCCCCTCTATATAACAGCATATTGGTTGTACCATCCCTCCCCTCTAGATAACAGATAGTGGTTGTACCATCCCTCCCCTCTATATAACAGCATATTGGTTGTACCATCCCTCCCCTCTATATAACAGCATATTGGTTGTACCATCCCTCCCCTCTATATAACAGTATAGTGGTTGTACCATCCCTCCCCTCTAGATAACAGTATAGTGGTTGTACCATCCCTCCCCTCTAGATAACAGATAGTGGTTGTACCATCCCTCCCCTCTAGATAACAGTATAGTGGTTGTACCATCCCTCCCCTCTAGATAACAGATAGTGGTTGTACCATCCCTCCCCTCTAGATAACAGCATATTGGTTGTACCATCCCTCCCCTCTAGATAACAGTATAGTGGTTGTACCATCCCTCCCCTCTAGATAACAGTATAGTGGTTGTACCATCCCTCCCCTCTAGATAACAGATAGTGGTTGTACCATCCCTCCCCTCTAGATAACAGTATAGTGGTTGTACCATCCCTCCCCTCTAGATAACAGTATAGTGGTTGTACCATCCCTCCCCTCTAGATAACAGTATAGTGGTTGTACCATCCCTCCCCTCTAGATAACAGTCACAGCCTCACTAAGGCACTGCAGTCACGGTGACACTTCCAACCAGTGTTATGTCATCACCTTATGCATACTGCTACTGAGTCTCCAGGGTGCTCTCTCTGGCACAATGCACCATCTACGGAACGATTATATATTACAATCGATGTACGGGTAAATAACAAGTGACAAACATGCAGTACATAATATTGAATCAGATTTCTTTGGTTTTCATTTCATTAGCAAGGTTTCCATCCAATTAGCGAGATTTTTATGTGAAAGTTCTCAAATCTGCATAAAATCAATATGCACATTTTCCCACCAGAGATGTTTAAGGGATGTTTCCATCAAATTGACTTGTTGCAGATAAAAGGCTGTGCGTGATGATGTAGTGCAAAATTTCCACATACCGAATACATTTTTAAAAAGAGTTAAATGAGTTATCGCATTTTTCACTCTACTGATGGTTTTGTCACTAAAGATGTTGTGTTATATAGTGGGTGTGCCCACTCTGCTCTCTAAACAGCAGCTCACACTCGTAGATGCAGTGTGGGTATAGCATACATGAGATTATTATGGACTAAAGACAAAGATTATTTGTATTTGTTAAATGGCAGTCAAGCATCGATCATGACTAGAATAAGACCCTCAATATGTATTGGAAAGGAGGCTCAAGCTCATCACCTCGCACTTTCACCACCCTGTGAAGTTCATAACTTATTTCATCTGTAGACTAATAAACTGCATTCTTTCCTGAGTCATGGTGGGAGGACCACACAATATATCATTGCGTGACTCCAATTTACTTCGATATGATGTTATTATAATCAATATTTGCGCATAAAAGCATTTCCATTACTCGCATAATTAATCGTACACAAAATCATCCCAACTTGTCAAGCGTATTTTGTTTAGTCGACATTTTCTGTTTCCATCAGGCCCGTTGTGACATGTTTTATCCGATGTACTTTACTCACATAAAAGGTTGGATGGAAACCTGGTTAGTGTTTCTGAAACTAAACTGAAATCAAGAATATAACAGCTAATCAATACCATGTACTTTACAGGCCAACAAAAATTGCAATGCTGCTAGAAACAACAAGCTTGCCTTGCACTACAATTCCAAAGACCAACACCAACTCAATAGGCAGAAACCAGCTAAACAAGAAGCATACTACTTACTTTTTAGGTCTCGGATGAAGGAGACAGGCTTGATGGCATTGCCCGTGTTGGCAAAGGCTTGGATGATGTGGTTCTGCATTATACAAATCATACAGAAACCCGACTGGTGACCTGAAATGGCACAGGAATAGAATAATGAGGGGAAGTCAAGTCCCCGTCATTACCCCAACAGACTGGGGAAGTCAAGTCCCCGTCATTACCCCAACAGACTGGGGAAGTCAAGTCCCCGTCATTACCCCAACAGACTGGGGAAGTCAAGTCCCCGTCATTACCCCAACAGACTGGGGAAGTCAAGTCCCCGTCAATACCCCAACAGACTGGGGAAGTCAAGTCCCTGTCAACACCCCAACAGACTGGGGAAGTAATTTGGCTTCCAGCACAACAGTTTGCTTAAACATATAGAAGGTCCATTGCTTATTGTGCATGTCAGATTTTGGTGTGAATGTTGGCTGTAAGGTTTATGATATGTGAATACACACAAATCCTTTGTTTTTAAGCAAACAGTATGCTTTTACTCATGGGAGTAGAGCTGTTGGACATGTGCCCCTTTCCATCCAACCTTCGAGGTAATTTCTAGACAATATATTTCTGTCCATTTAGGGGACCCGTTTAGTCTCAACAACTAGAAGAAAAATACCTGTATTGTCTATTTAATGGTTTGGCACTTCAACTCCCATATTGTGCCATTCAAAAAAGGTCTCTAAACAGAAGTCAACTAAACTACTCACAGGCACGACTGTGCTCCTTGGAGAGTAGATAGTTTGCCAGGGGCGGTGTGTAGGTGAGACACTGCACAGTGGAGTTGAGGAAGCAGGTGTTGCCAAGGTTGTGGAGGCCAGCTCCCACCCGGTAGACACGCTCCCAACGCATTGAGAGTCTGTTCCCAGGGAAGAGCATCTTCTGCGGGGCAGGGATCCCATCACTCTGGCCCCCACCTTGGTTGTCTGAAACTGGTGGATGGAGGAGTGAGATGAATTAGAGAAATTGCATGGATAATTCAGAAAAGCCAGAAAATAGTTTGGCAGACAAAGGCTCAACAATTTTGCCTAACTCGATCACTTCGCCCAAAACCCAAAGAGAGAGAAAAACGCTCATGGTGAATAGAGCTATTCTTCAATTCCACTTTCCACCAAAAGGGTAGAGAGACAATGAGGGGATTAAGAATGTCAAAGTGTGTCGAAATGCTGTGTGCAGTGAAAACTAGACAACAAACCTCTTGAATGGCTCTAGGAGAGAGTACATTTCCCAGTCAACGGCCTTACCTTGCCTCTTGATCTGAGCGGGCTCTGTGCTGGCCCTCTGCCCCGATGTGGCCCCCTCACTGCTGCGGGGGTTGAGGATCACATACTTGGTTTTGAGGCTGTCCAGCTGGTAGGAGAAGCCTTTGCTGGCCGGCTCAAACTCAATTTTCTGCAGCAGGACCTTCTTGGCCGAGGAGGCCAGCAGCTTGTTGAGGTCGCCCTCGTCGCCCGCCGAGGAGTCCTTCCGGCCGGGCTTCAGGGCTTCCTTGAGCTTGTCCACTATAGGCATCGTTTGAGCATCACTGTGGATGACAGAGAGGGTGAGATTCAGGGATCAGAATCACCTTTGCTTACATGTACCAAGGAATTTGACCTGGTGAAATAGTGCTGACAATGACAAAACATAGACAAAATAATGAAGACATAATCCACACAGGCCTACAGTATAGATACAGCAAAAAACAGAACCATTACACATAACAACAAGGCCAGTTTGAGACTACTCACAATTAAATCTAGGCTAACTAAAATATTTAGTCACATTAGGAACAAACACTAAATTCCACAGTGTGTATATTTTTTCAGCCTGCCTAGGAATAAAAGTCATGATACCATAATAATAAACCTTGAAAAGCTTACTGAGCAGCAATTGGTCTCAACCCTGTGTTGCACAGCCACAATATCCAGTCCACAGTACAGCACTGCAGCTTCATAATTCCCCCAGAGAGAGAGGCTACTGTAGCAGTGAATTTCAATTTCCTGTCAGTGATTCCTAAACTGGTATCCCAGACTGTAAACCCTGGCTGTAAGCGTGGACCTAGTGCTTTTCGGGAGAGAGAGCAGCATATTATGGCAGGAGGACTGAGTGTATCTGAGGAGTCAGGCTGGGACTTGGCAGCTGTCCCTGTGGTTATGCAAGACAGAGGAGGCGGGCGGGCATGGTGTGTGTGTTCATGCTCGTGTGTAGCGGGGAGTGGGACTCGACACAAGCACAGCTGCTGTCTACCAGGTCAGATACTCATGTTCTGACTATTCCTACATCAATCAAGTCATCGCCATTACCAACCAGCAACCACCCAACAGTCCACTGTCACAACAAAGGAAAGACTGGTGTGGTACAGTCCTGCTGTTACATGTCCTCAGAATGCCTTTAGTTAGGTCTATGTGCAATCTTTGTTTTCATTTATTCAGTTGTAACCGTCTATACTATTTTCACTTCAGGGCCCGTATTCATAGTGTTAGAGGAGTGTTGAGCTCAAATAAGTTTGCCTTTTAGATATTCTAGTGAATACATGGACAGCGGAAAGCTGATCCTAGATCAGCACTCCTAGTCTGAGACGTTTATGAATACAGGCCAGGTTGGTTATGCTCTAAGAAAAGCTAGAGAATTGGTTTGAAAAGACACAAGCGTCACTTGTATGCTTAACATGGGACTGAGTAGTGAATTAGGCAAGATACTGGTCCTCCGTAGCTCAATTGGTAACGCATGGCTCGTGGGTTCCATTCCCAGGACCAGCTAGACGTAAAATGTATGCACGGATGACTAAGTTACTTTGGATAAAATAGTCTATGGCATATATTATATCTGTACCTACTGTCTAGCATCCGGAGCTGGTACATCTATCAGAACACCAGCAACAACTGGGCCTTTAAAGGCAGCAGCCTCTTCAATAGGCCATCTCTGAGCAGATTGTGCGTTTGTGCACCTTTTCACAAGCCCTGCCCTGTCTGCATGCGTAAGCCGTATGGGCAGTGGACTGAATGACTCCTGACCGTGTCATTTCCGGCGCATGCCAACGTGCTGGCAAACAGAGTTGAATGGGAAATGATGACAGGGTAGTGAGAGTAGGCTAATCGTTCAACGCTTCCCTCAGTCCCTCTCAATTACAATTCACCCAGTATGGACTAGGCCTAAATGTGCCACTGATCAAAACAATAGTAGTACTGGCTTCTCTCCAAAACTATTGAGCGTGCCGTCTTTAGCCAACTCTCTTGCTATCTCTCTCAGAATGACCTTCTTGATCCAAACCAGTCAGGTTTCAAGACTGGTCATTCAACTGAGACTGCTCTTCTCTGTGTCACGGAGGCTCTCCGCACTGCTAAAGCTAACTCTCTCTCTCCTCTGCTCTTGTCCTTCTAGACCTGTCTGCTGCCTTTGATACTGTGAACCATCAGATCCTCCTCTCCACCCTCTCCGAGCTGGGCATCTCCGGCGCGGCTCACTCTTGGATTGCGTCCTACCTGACCGGTCGCTCCTACCAAGTGGCGTGGCGAGAAGCTGTCTCCGCACCACGTGCTCTCACCACTGGTGTCCCCCAGGGCTCAGTTCTAGGCCCTCTCCTATTCTCGCTATACACCAAGTCACTTGGCTCTGTCATATCCTCACATGGCCTCTCCTATCATTGCTACGCAGACGACACACAACTAACCTTCTCCTTTCCCCCTTCTGATAACCAGGTGGCGAATCGCATCTCTGCATGTCTGGCAGACATATCAGTATGGATGACGGATCACCACCTCAAGCTGAACCTTGGCAAGACGGAGCTGCTCTTCCTCCCGGGGAAGGACTGCCTGTTCCATGATCTCACCATCACGGTTGCCAACTCCGTTGTGTCCTCCTCCCAGAGTGCGAAGAGCCTTGGCGTGACCCTGGACAACACCCTGTCGTTCTCCGCTAACATCAAGGCGGTGACCCGATCCTGTAGGTTCATGCTCTACAACATTCGGAGAGTATGACCCTGCCTTACACAGGAAGCGGCACAGGTCCTAATCCAGGCACTTGTCATCTCCCGTCTGGATTACTGCAACTCGCTGTTGGCTGGGCTCCCTGCCTGTGCCATTAAACCCCTACAACTCATCCAGAATGCTGCAGCCCGTCTGGTGTTCAACCTTCCCAAGTTCTCTCACGTCACCCCGCTCCTCCGCACACTCCACTGGCTTCCAGTTGAAGCTCGCATCTGCTACAAGACCATGGTGCTTGCCTACGGAGCTGTGAGGGGAACGGCACCTCCGTACCTTTCAGGCTCTGATCAGTCCCTACACCCAAACGAGGGCATTGCGTTCATCCACCTCTGGCCTGCTGGCTCCCCTTCCTCTGCGGAAGCATAGTTCCCGCTCAGCCCAGTCAAAACTGTTCGCTGCTCTGGCACCCCAATGGTGGAACAAGCTCCCTCACGACGCCAGGACAGCGGAGTCACTCACCACCTTCCGGAGACATTTGAAACCCCACCTCTTTAAGGAATACCTGGGATAGGATAAAGTAATCCTTCTACCCCCCCCCCCCAATAATAATTGTAAAGTGGTTATCCCACTGGCTATAAGGTGAATGCACCAATTTGTAAGTCGCTCTGGATAAGAGCGTCTGCTAAATGACGTAAATGTAAAATGTTAAGAGAGAGAGAGATATGCAAGACTAGGTTTACTACAAATAGGCTAGCTGGAACAGTCAGGATGATATGGTGAGCTGATAAAACAGCACGCTTAGAGTAAACAAAGGACTGCTACACTTAAACCTTGTGTCCATTTGACGTACCACTACCAAACTATAGGGCTATGTGTTAGTGATGCACCAGCATGATGCCATAAAGGGGCTGAAACACACAGGAGACCTGTTCCATCTCCAGGTCAACAGCACACAGGATGGATCAGTCACAGAGCAGTTTTCTGTACAAACCCACACTTGACAGAGAAAAGGGGGAGTGGAGCCTGACTCATCATTATATCTGGTAGTGACGTAGGTGAGGGAGGAGAGAAGGGGGGCTGCACATGCATCATCACACACACAAGGGCAGACTAACCTTCATGTGCGGCTACTGATAGAATTAAGAATGATACAGCGAGATGGCGCAGTTGACTGCTGTGATGTAATGGGTGGACCACCTAAAGGGATTTTCAGTTTATTCACCAAACCGTTTCTATAGGGGTGCTGTTGAACCATATCGGCTAGGCTACAGCAGACAGGCTAGCACACAGAATGTTATGCCACTGTCAGACAATGTGGACCCACAATGCTACATATTGTTTTAATGACATCACAATCAAGAAAACGTTAGGCTAGCCTATTGTTGTCACGATACCAGAATTTTGACTTCGATACTGATACCAGGATTAGTATCACGATAGTTAATACCAAAATGATACCATGGCAACAACAGGCATATTATCCAAAGTCACAGAATGGCACTTGATCCAGACAGAAACTCAGCTACAATATCAACACAGGTGAATTATTTCACATCAACATTTTTCAGAGACAGCCATGTATGCATTAATCAAATCGATTATACAATCAATGTGACTTTTTTTTTTAAAACCAATTTAACTACATAACGGTAATAATTTATTTGAATGGTAAATCTATTGATAAACTGGTTAACTCAAGATGTAGCCTAGGCCTATTCACAATACTGGTGAATGCATATTCAATAGGAGTGAGTGCATGCATTGAGTTATTGAGCTTGTTTTGGATGATTTCATGGGTCTACAGCTGGCAAACAATCAGTTTCCCTTCCATTTGGGACTATATTATTGTACTGATCAACAACATTTGCATAGAAATAACCTATTTTACGCTGTCTCTTTAACCAGTAATGCAGTAATGACATCATTCATGGGGCAAGAGGGGGGCAGCCGCAGGCCATATCAGAGGGGAAGAGGCAAAGCGAGAGGTTTCACTCTCACCAAAATAAGCCCAAAGCATTTCTATGGGCTTATTTTGGACCTAAGCTTGTCGCTTGCCTTCCCACCTTTGGGACAACGACTCCCGTTGCTAGGGTGGAGACGAGCCTCCCTTGATTATATACAGATCTCTATCCATATTCACACAGTCAGTTCTCAGAGGCAATAGATCATCTTTCGGAGAGACGTGAGAGTGAACGATTAAGTGAATTAATAAAGTTGTGGTGGCAAATCAGCTTTGAAAAATCAGCATTTTTGTGTTATGGTTTTACAAGCAAAGTACAAGCAAACAAAAAAAGACCGACATGCAAACAGCTTCTGCCTTTATAAGTGTGAGACTGAGGGGCAGAATATGGACCCTCAAATGGTTGGGCAGACATGGACAATATGGACTTATATTCTAATCACATTTTATTTGTCACATGCGCCGAATACAACAGTGAAATACTTACCTACAAGCCCTTAACCAACAATGCAGTTAAGAAAAATAAGTGAAGTAAAAAATAATTAAAAGAGCAGCAGTAAAATAACAGTAGCGAGGCTATATACAGGGGGTACCGATACAGAGTCAATGTGCGGGGTCACAGGTTAGTCGAGGTAATATGTTCATGTAGGTGAAAACGTA